AAAACTATAACAAATTTATAAAATGGGTTAGAAGGGAAAATATATGAAAAGGTGCCAAATTTTAAACTAACTACAGCTGCATGAATCCACTTTCCAATGCACTCGTCTGATGGCAAGGCTATTCACATGACCTGGCCAGTGTCACAGGGAATTCTCCAGTCTTAGGCCAGGTAGGACCCGTCCAAATGCATTTTGGGCTTTCATTGTCATCCATAACCTTCTATAAACTAGGTGCTCAGAATTTAAGCTTTAATACAGTTCCTTCCTCCAGTGTTGGATTTTATTCTTTACAATCCTTGGATCACACAGGCTGGTATGGTTCTCCCATGTAGACTTAGATGACACCTCGCATGGATGGCTGCGTGTTTTAAGACAAGCCTTTAAGACCTCCGTTGCTATGCTTTCTGTTGCCAGATACCATCTGATTTCTTCACCATATTTTGCCGTAGTACCCATATCTTCAGTGATCTCATCATGAGGACAAAGATTGAATAGGTCTATTAAATGCAAGCTCAGCAAAAGTTGGATTTTTTTAAATACTACATACTTATTTTCAAAAATTAAGCCTCAGCTGAGATAGTGCCAGTTCCATGTCCTTCTGTTGGGAATGCTCCTACCTGATGTCATAAGGTTTGGTTTGGTTTTTCCGGACCGTGTCCTTTAGGATGGCTCCAGAAGTCGCTGCTGTAGAGCGGAAAGGAGGCTACAACCAGCTCTGTGACCTGTGGGCAGTGGGCATCACCGCCATCGAACTTGCTGAGCTTCAGCCTCCGATGTTTGACTTACACCCAATGAGGTCAGTGTGCCCGAACTGTGTCGTCACTGAAGAAGCTCTGCTTAAATGGAAGCTTGCCCCACCCTCCTAGGTTACTTATTATGTGATACAAGACTATATTATTTTCTTTCAGAATAAATAGTAATATAACTGGCCTCACTTTAAAATGTGCATTATTTAAGATCCTGTGTAATTATTAGTTGACTTCTTTTTCCAGAGCATTATTTCTCATGACAAAGAGCAATTTTCAGCCTCCGAAACTAAAGGACAAAATGAAATGGTGAGTATTTTGGGGTTATTTGATTTCATGTTAAAAGGAACAAAAGAGAATTGAAATTGAGATTTAAAAATTGTTTTAAATGTCATAGGTCAAATAGTTTTCATCATTTTGTGAAAATGGCACTTACCAAGAATCCAAAAAAAAGACCTACGGCTGAAAAATTATTGCAGGTATGATTTAAAATGCATGTGTGTACATATTTATTTATTTCAAATAGTCAAGTGTCAGATTTCTACTAAAGGCCTGTCCGATATTCCTTAATTTTACAGCACCCCTTTGTCACACAACCTTTGACACGATCTTTGGCGATTGAGCTGTTAGACAAAGTGAATAACCCAGATCACTCCACCTACCATTATTTTGATGATGACGATCCTGAGGTAGGAATTGTTTTTACCAAATATTTTTGTGTATCTAAACGTATGTCTGTGCATATCTTAAAATCGGTTTTCTGAATTGCTGGGTCCAGTGTAAATCAAACTGGTCTAAATTAGAAACTCTTGAGCGAGCACGTAACTCTTCGAATGTGTCTCATTTCCCAGGGAGCCACGTGCTGGGGCTTTCCAGTTGGCTTTCAGGTGCCCGTGGTCTGAGAATGACAGGGCAGAGCTACCTTCTCCACTTTTCGAAGCCACTGTAGTTATATCAAAGTAATTATTTTAGATGAAATGGGCAAATTAATTCATTGTAAAAGAGAAAGTAAGTCAGAAGCCCCAAAACAGGATATGAGAATAGGCTCTGAGTTTCTTTTCTGGTTTCTGCTCCAAAAAGAATCCTCTGATCACACTTTGTGCATGATTAGATGTGAACAGAAAGTTTATTAGAGATTTTGCTGTTGATTAAAACTGTGCACTGGGTTTTAAGGTGAGCCAATAGTTGACAGTGGATAAAATAACCCCAATGGGGGGCCTCTTCGTGCGCCATTCCCTTAATACAAGAGCACCTTGCTCAGCTAAACTTTTGGTCATTTCACTGATACCCACCTTCCCGACATGATCGCTGAAGACAGATGTGAGCATAAGCAAATGT